TCTATGGTTATCATCAGGGAGTGACTGTTGGATTTTCCGGTTGTCATATTTACTGTCTGCAAGAAACTGTCATCCACCGACTGGAAGTGTCTTTGTCCCCGGTCATGTATCTTTATCTCGAGGCCGGTCAGTTAGCTAAAGCGCGTGAAGTGGCCTGCTTCGGACTGACCGAACCGGATTGGCTCAATCTGGGTCAAGCCGCTCTGATGAAGCTCAATTTGTCTGTGAGTGGGATCCTTTGATCACACATGGCTCATTGTAACCCCTTTCCCCGATATATGATACTCATCCATTGATCCTCATTACGCTTGTCGTTGTTCTTGAGTGAGTCCACATTTCGGTACAAGAAATTCACTAAATATCTGGTGCGGATGATAACCAGTATAGGCTTCAGTGAGTCATCCAAGATCTTTGAACGTCTTCCCGTTCTTTTCCTCAAAACGGAAATACTCACGACCCAATAGTTAAGCAGTTGCAATTGGTTTACTAAATATACCATCTAGTGAAAATCTGGCGTTCATTTCCTTTCTCCGCTTTCGTTCGCCTAATCAGTTAGCCTGATAAATCCTCTTTAGCTTTTCGATTAGCTGGTTCCCTTGTGGATACAAAGGGAGCTGAAAAATACTAATAAAATATGTATTTAGGTACAAATAGTGGAAAACAAGACCGGGGTAGCAATAAGATGAAAGGTTTCCGAGGCAAATCAATCAGAATTTACATCAGAGGACTACCAAAGCTGTTCATAAAGAACAAAGCGGATGCCTGATGCTCTTGGACAGCCCCCGTAGAAACTTTGCAGCTAAAGTGCATCCAAATTGTGGTTGAATAATTTCAAACAGAATGGGATCCGCCATAGTGTTGTGAGGTACTACTCACATTTGTGAGTAGTTCGCAAAAGGATGTGATTGGCAGTTTCTTTCAACGTTCGAAAATGATTAAAACCAGTTGGAGAGAATTGCTGTGTTCACTATGGCAACTAAAGGAATGCACATCTATTTTTAGGCCGTTCCAGTAACTATTCTGTATGCGTATGGCAATCATGCTTGATATTTGTGGGTGATGGAGGTTTTAGGGAGTGGCGAGTGTGGATGAATGAGTGAGTGAATGCATCCGAGTTAGTAGATTGAGGTTATCTGCAGATTACAAGGGGATGGTCTGTGGGTCAAGCTGTGCTGGTTGCATAGTCAAGTGTCTATACCATGACGTTATGCAGCATCCTCTTTGGCTGGTGGCTTCAGGGGTTACCGACAATCGAAGTGTCTACGGTTATGTACCAGTTGACTGAGACCAATCAGTTAGTTCATGTTCCTGAATTGGGTCATTCTATTTATATGGTCAAAGAGTATTAACCACGGTGACAAAGTTTTGAATCTTGTTACCAGCCCAGATAATTACAATCGGTTTCCATACCCTCCCTCGTTAGCTTGGAAACAGTTTATAAGAGCACTGAGCCTTCCATGGTCATCTCTTTATTAGATGGTGACATGACCTCCGGTTATTAACTCCTCCTCCGTTACCAACTTGGTTTTAGTCACCCCACCACGGATCGTGAAACATCTTTTTGTTTATTGGTCTATTAGGATGTCATGCAGATTCAGTGCGGAGTTTCAGTTGTTGCNCATGCAGATTCAGTGCGTAGTTTCAGTTGTTGCAACCATTAACCATAAACTTTCGTGCCCCGGTTTTGGTTGCTGTCTCATGATTGCCCGTTTGCAGGAAAGAACAGAAGGAAGAATGGAATGTGGCAATCTGGGCCAAAGCGAAGATAGAGAATTCACATGAAGTAAGGCTGCAGGGTTAATGATTAGATGTACGCGCTCAACTTTTTGCGACACTCAGACATATCACACTCAGTGTATCTGATCACCGGTTACAACGATCCCGCGGTCCTCATCCAGGAAGCCTAACGCAGCATCATGTGAGCAAGTCTCCCAATCCGGGCTTTCATAAACTCATGTCAGATCTGAGTCTGACCAACCTTTACTTTATTCCACCAGAAATACCTGACTCATCAAACGGTACGCGCGGTGGTACTCTATTTGGTGATATGAGCAGCGCATGCCCAAACAACATACTTTATGGAGGTCGACCACTTGCTTCAGTAGACGACCGCGATTACCTAAAACTCTGCACCTAACCTCAGCACTGCTTGTCCGGTTTCTTCACCAGACTCGTGCAATGTGAGCTAGACAGTGGTGTTCGAACACCGACAGTGTATCTTTATCCCTTGTTTTCATGATCGTTAGTTTTCAAGACGAGACTGCACCTTGATGTGGTATGATGGCTTGTACACCTCAATGACCCAGTGAGTTACACAGGATGGCTTTTGTAGAGCCAAAGATCCAATCGTGCCCGGAAGGTTGAATGGTAGAAGTCGGACGAAGTTTAGTCTCCTGGTCCGCTCTAGGTTAGGGATTTCACTAGAATTTGCTTTTCGGTTGGCAAAAAATAGTGGCCAAGTATTTGACCTAAGTAACTGGGTCTCCACTTTGCTTCACCCGCGCTGCCTTGCGGCTAGGTTCTTGTGAGAACTAAAGGCTTTGGTAGAGAACCCTAGTCGTTCTCCTGCTTAGTGGCTGGACACCCTAGCAGTACCTGTTCATCAAACCCCCATGCATTGTGAGTTTGATAGCAATCAGTGAAGTTCGCTTCCCTGTATTTCGCTGCACGATAATGATGATGATGAATTTTCTGTATTCAACGCTTAACATAGTACTGAATGATAAACTAGATCTGTTAGGCCACTAGTCAGTCAGCTTAGAAAAGCGCATGCAAGCATTAGTATAAACCATACATTTTGAAACGGCTATATTGGCTAACCGTGAATTCTGTGGTTATCTATTTGTGACTCTCATTGTAATTTCTGATATCTTATCGAACCCTATTTGTATCCGTTTACTTTTTCACTTTAGGTCTCCAAATACGCTTTCATTCAACTGAGTGATACTGTTATGCTGACATTCATTCAACAACTCGAGGTACGTCCCCCTCTCCCCTCGAGTGTTGATCTGTAACGTTGTGCCTTTTTCTCACGTTTTACTCATTACCTTTTGTTCGGGACCCGATACAAGTCACGGTTCGAACACGATTAGAGTTCACATTTTCGACATAAAGTATTATGCAACCGCAGTCTTCTTTCTTTCAAATAAAATTGAGTCAATAAGCCAGAGATTTGACTGCAGCTGACCTAATTTCGAATTTGGCGATACGGTGGATGATTTATTGTATGATGAATGATATTCTTATTTTTTACCTTAAAAGGTGACGCAGTGGTTTAGTCGCTGTCAGCGGCATGCTTTGGACCCTGTGGTCCTGGGTTCGAGCCCCGCCACCACCAACCAACATTGATGGCAGACAACTTTACTGTCGTCCTATTCTGTGACATGCCTGACCTAGAGAGGTTTTATGTGATTCGTCACTCCAAGTCCCGGGACTTAGGTCACCGGTTTCCATCATTGACTAGTAGGTCTTCGTGACTACGGGGTTCTATCCCGTCGGCTGCCCATCACAAATCGGTGTGTAGTAAAAAGTCAGCCTTTAGTTCCCGTGATCATCCATAAACTCACATTTGTGGATTATTTTCTGCAACGCCCTGAATGTATTTAACAATTCGGATTGTTTGAATAAAGAAACATTCAATCCATTCTCATGAAAGGAAAACGATTAATCAAAGGCTTCCTATGCAATTAAAAAGTTGGCGGATTTGGTGTGTGATTAGCCCACTTGACCTTGAGGACTAAGCAATGCTAGTCCGAAGCCACATGTAATTTTCTTCAGTTTGGAAAATGTCTAAATTTCACTGTGATATTCTTTGAATTCACAAGATTTGCTGCACCCAAAATGAGATACCAATTGATAGGAGAATGCTATTTTTCCTATGCACACTTGACTATTTTTCTGTCCTCTACACTTTTTTCAATTAATTTTCTACGAGGTTTGAATTCTCACTTTTACGCGCAAAAATACATCGTTTCGTACATACCCAGCTCATTGAGCTAATTTCATAATTAATGCTAGCAAATGTGTTTTCACTTTAGGATCTAATAAACCGTATTGTTTCTAATCCGTACATATATGATGGTGCCGAACGGTCATCTGTAATTTTTCACTTGAAGGAACGATTTAAACGCGGCGAGTGGAATCCGAACGAATCGATTCACAGTCCAGGCACTCTGATCACTTTGGGTGATATAGCTGCGTATATGGGACGATTCAGCGAGGCAGCCACATACTACACGAAGTCCGGTCCAGATCACGGAGGCCCACATCGTGTGGTCGAGATGNGAGGCTCGCGAAGCCATGACCGCCGGTGGTGCGGATTCGGCTGAACGAAGACAGTTGATTGCAAAGCACGCGGACTGGGCTAGAACCACGAAAGAGCATCGGACTGCAGCGAAAATGTATATGGATGCTGGAGAATTTGCGAAGGCAATTGAATTGGCCGGCGAGCATCGTTGGACAGATCTGTAAGTGACTTGATAATCAGCTTATCGATGCTATAAAATTCAGAGCGAATAAAATATAAGAATCCAAATAAATGAGAAATGCCGATTGCCAAATTGGAAGCAAAGTCTGCTAGGCAAAACAAACTGCTTTTTGGCAAATTGATCCACTCTGCGTTACAATTATATCGTCCATTTGGTTTGGATCCTATCAAACTGTATCCGAGGAGAGAGGGCAGATCCAATGCTTGATCGAAACCGCCTCGGCTGTGCATGATAAACTGTAGTCGTTTTGACGAGGATGAAGGCGTGTAATAAATGATGCGGAAATCCTAATCTACTGAGTATCGCGTCTCTGGTATGTATTGGTTGATCGTGCTTTTTGCTGTCCGAGTTTCATCGTATCTCAACCAGCAGGAGCGTTGTTCGCAAAGCCTCTTTGATAGGTGCTTCATGGTGCTTCATGGCTGATGTAGCTCGCTTTATAGAAGCAACTGAGCGCATAGAGACACATGAATATACTATCCTTCAAGCCGGATATTTTGCTTGGTGCAAGTGCTGAATACTCCATGGACTTCTCGTAAGTTGTCCAAACAATACAAAGCTACAATCCTAAATGAGTTCTATCAAAATCTCCCATCTCGAAAATTCGTGCTAGCTGATTGTTACTGTAGTTGGCATATTTTGTCATAATCTCCCGATTTTATGTGATTAAGACTGACCGCTCTTCAAACCTCACCATTGTGCACAATCCTTAGCTCTCTGCAGCTGTCGAATTTTCTCCGAACAAGTTCGTGAAAACACTTTGTCATGTTTCACACACTTATCTCAATCCAAACTATCTTTCAGATATGCTCATACATCGTTCTTGGTACTACCTTAACCAACTCATAATTTTCTCCTAGAGTTGGAACACTGGCAAATTGTCTGGAATGTAGCAGGTGATTTTCTTAAAGAATGCTACAACCGTAACCCTCGCCTTGCCATTTTTAATCCGCAATGCAGCAGCAAGCCTTGTTGAGTGATTACCAGTATCCAACCGGTCGATTCATATACCCTTTGGGTGTAGTTCAGATATACAGGATCCCACCACGTCCTGTCAGTCAGTCGATTCGATGATTACCGTAACCGGGAGTTCCCGGAACTAATTCGTACGCCTCTTCCAGGAAACAGAGAAATCAGGGTTCTCTCGCTCACCTAAATGAACCGGATGCCCGCTACAGTTAAACACTGTCACCTACATGATCTACACTTTTCCCATCAAGCTTTAGCCAAAGCCCGCAATCCTCTAGCCTCGACCCGTAATTCTTCAGCCAAAACCCGTAATGCTTTAGCCCTAGTCCTTTAGCCTTGACGCACAAACATTAGTCATACAGCAGTAGGAGAGTCACAGCAAAAAAGTATCGGAATATTCTGAAGTCAACGAATGTTGAAAAAAAATTATTTTCTACAAATGTTAATGTTGCAAAGCTTGGTCCATAAATAAGAAGGTTTGGGGGTTGCATGCCGCAACACATGTTGATTGGAGGAGGTTTGATCGATGTGCTCGTATCATCAAAACATTCGATACATCTCGTACAACTTCAGTGTTTCTGTGTAACATGCGATACACCTAGGAGTAAAAATCTCCATTGTAACTCAAACGGTACATTATTTTGGATTCAAAAAGCCCTGAAATACATCTGAAGGCATATGAGCACCGTTTCGTATATTCAATTGAAGCGAACTCTGTTCTTGAGATGTGGATACTTTTACAGATCGAGGATAATATAACGGTTCACAAAAGGCCCCCTTTAGAACACCGTTCCCCCAAGAAGCTGTAGACAGAACCCGTAATATTTAAGCCTCGAACGTGGTAATTATGTGTAATGTTGCAGCGTTAATAAACTGATGATGCAGTTATGAGGGTGCAGCTATACGGGTGATTTATCAACCTCAGCACGTTTATGTATCCAATTCTGATGATCAACTGAAGGACCAGATGACGCAAGAAAGGTCACGCCGTAACCTGAGAACGGACGGAAACCGCAATCGGGACGAAAGGACAACTTCCTCCCCTCCCACCCCCACTCGCTCGCAGCAGTTCAACGGCGGACCGAGTCGAACACAGTGAGAACAGGGGACGAAAATAGTCGGTGGCGTAGAACGCAAATATAAACGAACGGGTACAGGCAGAACACTGCCACTTCACAAGCACTGATGATGTCAATTCGGCTGGTGATGAAACGTTTGCAAACAAGTTGCCAAGCTCGGCAAACAGGCGAAATGGAACTCAGTTCACCCGAGCTACGAGAACCGATTTTCAATATTTTGATCAAATTTCACTTGTGAATGCATAACAATGTGCCGTTTGAGTTACAATTGAGATTTTTACTCCTAGGAGTATCGCATGTTACACAGAAACACTGAAGTTGTACGAGATGTATCGAATGTTTTGATGATACGAGCACATCGATCAAACCTCCTCCAATCGAAATGTGGTGCAGCGTGTGACCGCCAATCCTCATTTCTTAACGAAGTTTGCAACGTCATCATTTTTTTCAACATTCTTTGATCTCAGAATATTCGGATACCTTCGGATCTGACTCTCCTGCTGCGGCGTGACTAATGTTTGTGCGTTGAGGCTAAAAGATCACGGATTTTGGTTAAAGGAATGTAGGTCAAGGCTAAAGGATTGTAGTTTTTGGTTAACGAATTACTGGTCGAGGCTAAAGAATTGCGGGTTTTGGCTAGAGCTTGATGGGAAAAGGTGTAGTATCCTTGTTGAGTGAGCACAGCATGATCAATAGAGCTGCTTCGTGAATCACTGGGGAACTGCGACTTTCAAATTTCTATTCTCTGAAATGAATGCCCACAAATTCTGTACTATTATTTGATAAATTTTTGTTCTGGCACTGTCGAAGTAAATCACATTTCTCGATATTGTATTAACAATTTAAGCGCGAACTAATATCTGGCAAATATTCAAAATTCCAATTTTTTGTGCCAAAACTAAGGACCCCATTTATCGCATACATCACTACTATAATTCACATACACGCATACAAAACAGCTTACTGGAGATCAGTCGGAAACTGGACAAAGGTGATCGAGACTGTCTGGAACGATGTGCTCAACATCTGGCCCGACTGGGCGAGTATGCTTTTGCTGCCGATTGCTACGCGAAATACGGTGACGTGGAAAATCAACTTGCGCTCCATGTCGAAGCAAAAAGTTGGGAAGAAGTGAGCTAACCCCATACCCTCCCGCATCGATTGATTTTGACAACTCGCTCTTATTTGTTTATTGATATGTCTAAACATTCGTTGTTCTTGCTCAGTTTCGGACTCTGCTTCAACACATATGTACTCATTGTCGTATTTGCCTGTTTACAGGCTTTTGAACTGGTTCGAAAATATCCGGAACATCTGGAGCACGTCTATTTGCCTTATGCACAATGGTTGGCAGAAAATGACAAATTTGAAGAAGCACAAGCAGGTATTCCCCATTTTTCATTGCGTGTGCGTCTTACCACTGTTGTTTTTTTCTGTCATCCGGAAAGATTTTAAGGAATGCGTCAATACCAGACAGATGAAGTTTACCACGCACAATCTCATTTGCAGCTCGGTTAGTGGATTTGAGATGAATAAGCCTTGAAGAATCGTTGCGATGGCTCTGTTTTAAGAGTTGTGAGTTAGATGCGTCCAAACTCAGTCAGTTGAGGCCAAGGCCGATTTTCAGTGCTTTTAATAATGAATGATATATAAATGACTGAACTGAGAATTTTATCCAGTCACTCATATGTTACTCATAATACAAACACATGGATTTAAATTCAACTTCATTGANAAGCTTTACAAATTGTTGAATGAGAGTAAATCTTGAGAGCGGAACTGGAAGTGTTCAGTGTGTTCCCGGACAGAACTATACAGCAGAGAAGCAGTCTCAGTTAAAGATTATGCGAGTAAGGTACGTCGGAAATCGAAACGAAATTCACGCATGTTGTTTTCTTCGAGGGGGAGGGGGCATTCACTGCAACAACAATTTAGGATTAATTTACTCACTGATTTTGAAACGGATTGAACAAAACATCAAACCTATGAGCAAATACGGATAAGATATGAGACATCCGTTGCCACCCTCAGGTCGGTGGCTGCTCGGTGGTTACGTCATCAAATTATCATCCCGGGGATGTGGACTCGAATCCCGCCACAAACACCGCCTGACCTTCCCCAGTGTATGTGAGTTGAATGGCAATCCTTTTGTTGGCCACTTCCTCCTTCCTGAAAATCGTAACATTATATATGCGATAAAAGGAATTAAAGATCAAAAAGAAGAAAAATAGGAGAGTATTGTATCTCATGCATATTTGTATTCAATTCGTTTTATACCTCCATCAACGGGAAAGTAGTACAACAGAAAATTTGTTTTTTTTCCGCATACATGAATACATGTATTCATGCCTTTGGTGTATTTATACAGGGCTATCATTTTCTTATCAAGTACATGCCATATATGTGTAACATCCCTTGTTTCTTCCTATGTGCTCTCTCGTTCTACTTCACGTAAGCTTTAACATGCTGTGTTTTGTCTATTCATCACCGCTGTCTTTATCTTCCTCCTCGTGCACAGCATTTGCCAAGGCTGGACTGCAATCCGAGGCTATTCGAGTTTTGGAACAGTTGGCTACCTGTGCGGCAAACGAATCAAGATTCGAAGATGCCGGTTTCTATCATTGGAAATTATCAATGCATTGTTTGGAGATGGCCAGAGATGCAAAAGGTAGGCGAGATTCGATCAAATCACTTATCTGTGTGCCCCTAACGAAGTTGGAAGTGGGAGGGAGGACTATCACTCATCGGGTTTCCTTTTGAATTTTGATAACAGTACGGACAAGCATCATCCACCCATAGGTTCGACCGTTTTGCGTTATCTCTTTAGCTGTGTACAACAATTTCTACAAATAGAATAACGCGCAACGAAACTTTGCATCACTATCTTCCCCTTTGGTCTGAGTTACTTCGGTACAGGTGCAAGGGTGTTTGGGGTACCCGGTAGGAGAAGCACGTCTGACTCTGTTGGCCCCTTTGGGGCACCCTCAGTTCTTTGGTCTCCACTAGGCGCTCAGCTCTCACCTGTGGCTCCAAGAAGCTATTTAAGTGCAACAGCTGCCACACCCCGGTAAACTGCTCGATAGGTGGGACAAACTAGATTGAGGGTAACCGGGAGTTCAACTCTCGGCGAGTCGGTGTTGGTCGGCCGAAGTCCCTCTCACGACTCAACGGTCAAGGGAATGACTCCGAACTCATCAGAGATGCATGGACCCATGTTCAGCTAGAAACTATCAATGGCAAATGAGCTCCCCTNTGCGCTACCTTCCTGCTGCCTTGCAGTTGGCATTTGGACGTGCAAAGGCTAGAGATGCCACCTCGACCCAAAGCCGGGTGACGCTGGGGACCTTTCCTGTACCTAACTCCCAAGGAATTTCATAGATATTCACTTGATGTTCATGAAGCCGACTTATTCTCTCCCAGGAGCTAGCCGCCGTAAATTAAAGTAAGGTAAGGAAACTATGACAGAGTTTTCTCTCAGTCTATGTTTATTCAAAGGAATTAAATGCAATCGGAGTTAGCTTGAGGAACAGACATGTCCATGTTTGATTCTGCCGGTGCGTTTCTGGTCTTATTTATAACAGCAAGCCTCATGCTTACTTATCTGAACGTACGTGCGGTT